AAAATTCGCTCACGTTTAGGCGGGAACTTCATCTCGGCCACCCCTCATTTCTTTGGTGTTCCCAGCATGTGATTCATTTCGATGTTCACATTGTTCCCGAATGTAATATTCTAGATTGCTTTTATGTAGTATACTAATGCTGTGAAGTGGAATCGGTCCCGACTAAAACACAACTTGTTTCTTTTACCACAGTTAACAAAGTGTAACATAAAGGGGGCATGCTCGCCACTTCTGCCGCAAGTCGAAACAGAAAAACTAAGTGATATTTCATATAAAATTTCCCGTGTGGCGGTGTAGAGTTGAATCCACGGGGTGCAGCTCCACCGATCATCGTTTTCCCATGACTGGTGCAGACAATTAGACACAAACACGAGATAGAAATTAGGGCGGCACCAGCGTGAGAAACAGGGTGGGAAAAGGGTCGGGCAGGAATATGACATGGCATGGGGTGAGAGACCACAGACTTTTAATGACTGTGTCCTATGAAAAGTGCTCACGTTGTGAAACGTCGCGTGGATTACAAGCGGCAGTACGTACACATGTGGATCTAAAAACTGAAGAATATCTCAGTGGATTTCAATCATGCAAGTATAAAATAACAGATTAAGAGGTCGAGGTTAGCCGATATCAGGAGGGAGGGATTTCACTCTCGACAGGAAACTTAAAACGAACTTGGGGATAAACAAAGTCAATTCCAACACAGGGCATCGGCTACAAGTATGCTCTGTCCCTGTGCCAGAATAACCCCATTACGCTATTGAACTGATTGTTGTGGTCAATGCGGGTAGTATATTGCCACTTTTAATGGGAACTTCACGTTCAAAGAGATACCAGTAAAAAAATCCAGATTTTACAGAACACGAGCCAACTGAATGGTTTATGAGCGATTGTGTAAGCCTATTACTTGGCGACAGCGGGTATGCTCTCGTTCAGCACCGGTACCCGTATAAAATTCACTCATCTACAAGCACAAAGATTATCAGGAAGGTTTTGCTAATGGGCAAATATTCTAATAGTTCCTCATCCAGAGGGGGTAAGTGCATTCCATATTGGTTCTGTCAAGGAAACTATGTCGTCTTGAAACAGAGAGAAGAGAGGCCGGCCTAACTGACAAAGAATTAACAGAATCCTGCACCAATAAGAACACCAATAAATCAAAGACACTTCTAGTCACTTTTCAAATACACGGGGGCCCGAAAAGCATCACCCATAGTTGGACTGTCCTCCACATTCCCAAAGCAAGAACAAAAAATTCCAGTGGTAGTGAGAGACATGGTTCCCTCCGTACATTCAAGTGGATGGACCGGGAACCAACTCGTGGCCCCATTCGTTAATCCAGCTATCCGATTTGTTAATTTTACAGAATTCAAGGTCAGTGACAGTGAATGTCTTCCATCCGCCATCTTAGATGCTAGGACGCGTCACAAGCCAGCAGCGTTTATCTACCGTTGACAGCTTCGTTACCTTAACGATCTTACAAGTAAATAGAGCGGCCGTAGCCACAAAACATCCAATTCAGACCGAAAAATGAAGCCTAAAATGGTAGAGCCAAAGGAATTTTGGAGACCAAAGATGGAGTACAACCATAACATATTTTTCTTTTAAATAAGCGAACTCTGGTTAAAATAAAGACTTTTCGATACATGCTTTTACTAGTTACCATAAGGCCGAGATGGTGCATTGCAAACAATGTCTTTAAACTGCAGCCTTCCCATTACCACCCAAAAAAATCAGCACCTATCAATCTTATTTCTACAATGGAAGCCATAAAAATCAGAGAAATCTGAAAACTGGTTAAGCTTTTTGCTCTTTGGTGCAAACTTTCACCAACGTTGACCCGAAGGAATCTAATTGTAATTGCTCTATCCTACTTGTCTGCTACAGAGCGAAACACTTGATCTTTTTCAAAGAAAACATAACACTGCGAAGTTCAACTTTTCACTAGTTAGACGAAGCTTATGCATATCTTATTTTTTTTTGGGGGGGGTGAGATTGGCTCATTTATTTGAGAGAATGGACACAACCGGCAATGGCTGAGGGGCAAAACGCGATGAAACGATAATATTTTGTTCAAAACTTGAATGAAAGGAGCTACTGTAGTTACGGAAGAGAAAAGGTAGACGAATGTGCACGCTATTAAGCCATCATCCGCGGGTCATACAGTCTGCTCAGGCACCTGTAGCGGAGATGAGCTGACCCAAAGAAAGTGTACAGGGCCGTACATATCACCCCTTTGACTATTCATTCAACGTGTAGACCCGCTTATTTATAAAGCCCTACTGACAGAACTGAACACCAACACGACGATCTTGCACAAAATTGCACCGTCGCTCTCCCCTTTCTCTTCATACTCGTTCAGTTGTTGCTCAGCCGTGGACGGTCCGACGGCTTGAACACAGTTACAATGCGCCTTTCCACGAAAGGGGGTATAATTAGGCTTCGTTTAACCCATTACAGCAGGGCTTACAGAAAACTGAATGAAAAATTATGCTGCAGGTCTAAGGACACAAAGCAAAAGACGACGGAGGATGTGTGTTCTGATTGTATAAGATTTCTCCAGTGCCTCAAAAGCTTTTGAAAATGTGCGCAGACGAAAAAAAAAATCTGCACGACTGACAAGGTTTCGGGTACGAAATGTTAATATAACATTACAGTTCTTTTCTGGAGTGTCTAATGAACACACAGAATCTGTCCTGTCGTAGGCAATAGTCCTCTTGCAACAATTCCCACTGAAACGAAATTTTGTAATCACAAAGTAAGAAGTTGTTGGGGTGCTATTGCTGTACCAGGCCAAAAACACTCTCTACAATGCCATAAACTGGTAACAGAATCGGATTTAAATACATTTGCACAGAAACTTAAATGGACGTTCACCTCGTTTACTAGTGTTCATTTACAAAACTGGTCATAAAAGTGAAAGGGGCTAATTACCGCTAAAACCAGTTACATAGGGCCCGGTGTACACGACTTTGTTTTTAAACATAGACCACCATTTTGTAGCACTGTCTAAAGTTTGCCGAAAATTCACCTTGTTATGGTTGGCAACCTGAAAATGCACGTTTATTAAGACTGTGACATACCTACAGAAAGGTCAAGAAATGCACAATGGCTAAAAAAGTTTAAACAACGGAGACTAATTTGTCCAAACAAATAAAGTCCAAGAAGGTTGGTTGAATGTATCCCACGTTATCTAGTTAAATATCGCACGACACATGCACAAGCCCCCCTAAGGGCACCATTAATGTGACCTTCGGTCAAAGGCAAACGTTAACAGAATCGTAACAAAATGCTCAGTTTGACACATTGTCTGTCAAAAAATTGTTTAATGTTCAAAATGTTGAAAAGGAATCTTTTTAGCTTTAAATACCAGATAAAAGCGGGGTACAATAATATTGTCTATTTTAAGTTCAAGAGAGAATTAGAACTTCCAAATACTTTCTATGATAATTATTATTATACATTGATGAGAGATCCAAAATTAACGACAGAATCTGTCAAATTAAAGACAAGAATACTACAGAACCGCGAAGTAGGTGGCGTACACACGGTTAGTTGTTGGGGTTCATGACACTCGACTATACTGGGCAGAAGTTACATGTCTTGACCTATGCCAAGTCACTTCACTCTAAAGCCTAAATTTGTCTCTTTCCAGCCGGCAGTATGAATATCGGTGAAGGTAGAGGACGAATAATGCGCTGCCTATATTGGTATCGTGACCTGATGAACTATGGGAAAGAGCGTTGCCACACATGCCTTGAGTATAGTGTATAGCCGCATAGTTATGCCCGCCTTTATAAATAAATCTTATCTGTCACACCATGTTTTACACTAAGAATTGAAACTTACGGACGTTGTTCAGCGTTTGGGGATGTGCGGGCTGATGGTTCAACTACAAGCATACCCTCATATTGTGCCGACGAATTGTACCCGTCGAACAACGAAAGCCGGTACTTTCTTTCATTGAAAGTCCACGTGGAGCACTTAATAGACACACGGCAAAAGCATACAAAAGAAATGTCATGCGAAACGAAAGAGAACAGTCCCAATAGTCCCAAACAATTATCATTATTTTCTCTCTGAGTTTGACTAATGCAAAACTCCAGACGGCGAAATTAATTAACAATGCAGTCCTTGAAGCGCTAAAAGTTTATGGACCAGTGTCTGCTGGGTCGATTTGCATGGTAAATCCGACAAGCAAAGGTACATGGCATTAATTAGCTATGCAAATTGTTTTAATTTCGCTTTTGACAGGATAAAACAGGGCGAACGGCGGACATACGGTCATTTTACGGACGACTGCGTATTTTGTTCAGGGGGTCTTCTGAAATTAATAATTCATCAACCTTTGCTGTGGGACTGTTCCTGTAAGTACCACTTCCTATAATTTGTTTGCCCCTTATATTTCAGCGCATCGTCACAATGTGACACTAGTTTTGCAAAAAATAATCCCTAGTATTTCTTTCCGGAAGAGTGGTTCTGGACTGTGTATATGAGGGTGCGAACTTGTGTCCGCAAGAATTGATTTTCCGTTAGAAGAACAACATCAACCATAAACCTTCAGTCTACCGTAAATGACAGTTAAGGGTTACAGTTTCCATACAAGTAAATGACGGCTGCTTCCAAAGATATTTTGGTTATTTCAGTGGCAGCATAGAAAAAAACCAAGCCAACATTTACTGACTTACATAGACTTGTGTGTAATCCGCAAGTATATATTATCCAAAAAAAAAAAAGAAAGAAAAAAGAAAAAAAACACAAAAGAAATCCTCAGATCACCTTTGGCCAATAATCATCTCTCGAGTAGAGGTTTCTGAGACTGAACAATCCAACGTTTTGTCAACCTAGCGTCGAGGTGCAGCAGATGCCAATCTGTGACGAAATATCAGCAACCGCATGGGGATCTCTTCAGAAGACCTGAGCAAACTTTCCAGAGTTTTGCCCTCAAGTCCCCTTGACTCCCCACCCCGCATACCAAGCATTGTCCCTCCCTGCGTCCGCACAAAAGGCTCGAGTCGATCCAGCGCCTTCACAGACCCTGTAGTCTTTGTGTCAACAGTTAATCGTCTTTGGCAAGCACAAAGAAGACAGGAATAATAATACGCACAGTAAAAATCACCATCATTGTTTACCGAGTGAAGTTCGTAGATGGTACTCGTGAAATCGCACAGATGCCACACCTCTCAACGCGCTTGGCCAGTAATTCCACTGTGTGCGCTCAAAGCCTGTAAGCTATTATGATGCCCGACAATGGATGATAACAACAACGCCAATGGCAACACCTTTCCTTTACTGGTGAGGATACATACATGCATGTCTTTATTGTTGATTCCTGTCGGCCTTTGTCTTTGAATTCATCCATTCCATCTACATTTAATTAACAGAGTCACTGCAGAGTAGCATTTAATGCTCTGCAGTGACTCTGTTAATTAAATTTCAACAGTAACAGTATAAATGAATGATTCTTCGGCAAAACGCACAGAGAATTCACAACAGCAACTACAAAAAGTGCAAACTGAGCAGAGCATGAAACAACGATCCTGGTGTTTCACCAAAACAGACCAGACTAGCAGAAGCAGAGACGAAGCTGAAGCAACGGCAACACTGAGATTTGGTAAACTACCATGCTTGTCCTGGGTGGAGAGAAGAAATACTTCTGTGTGAAGGTGGTCATCGAGGACAAAGAACAGGTAGAAGACAATTAGGTATAGCGACAAACCCTGTAATGGAAACCGTGTGCCAATTAAAGGGGATGGGCCAGGCAGGGCTAAATTGACGTTATATGATAGTTTTCAACCGTCTTATAAACAATAATTGGATTAACCCCTCTTTTATCTCATTAAATCTGCACAACTTGGTGTTTTCTGTGTGCTTTTTTCAGTCTCCGCCTGGGCTCACCGCAAAAATTGATCGAAATCGGTCAGTGAGGGTAGCAGACAAATCTTGCCAAAAATGTGACGTCATAGGACGGACTCGATTTCCAGACCAGAATGCATGGTTCCGACAAGAAAGTTGGACGTTTCGCAATGCACGGTGAAGAAAATTAAGAGAAGAGAACATCAACTTTGATGAAATAGGCTAGCCTGTGCCCATTGACAAAAAAACTACCCCCAGAATCATTGAAACACAACAAAACCACCAAACTGACGAAACAGATTAAAAGACAAGGAAGGCAATCTAGCTTTCCCAGTAGGCAGTAGGCACTTAAGAGGAAAAAGACGAAAAGCAGCGAGAAGGGACAATTACGAAGTCCTCAGCGTACAAAACACGTGCGGACAAACCTTTGTGAAAACGTTTGCATATTACAAGTACCGGGAAACAAAAGAAAAAAATACCCGTGGACCTATTTTTCCATGCTTTGTTCCTAAAGAAATCTCCATTCTCATTTTTAGCCTTGACTTTTATGATCGAGGTTTTAGTTTATTGTGGTATGAACGCGAGCAAGAACCCACTTTGAAAACTTTGTACCAGTCTGTCTTTCTTTTGCCGAAAGGATGCACTTACTTCAACCCAGGACGGATACCAGGGGTTAAGATCGCGCAAGGCATGTTGAGAAACCAACGTGGTGCTACGTGATTGTACCATTGAGAACGAGGGTGGGAGTCATGATCACCCAAAGAGGATTTTTTTCTATAATAAGATGGGGGTGGACTATTTCATTTCGTTTCATTCCCAAATATCGGAAAAAGCTCCCATTACTCTAGTCCCAAGTAAAGCCAAAATGTTAAGAAAAACTCTCAACTTTGCTTCCCATGAGAAGAAAGACTCCCGACAATTTGATGCTTGTCTGACACATACCTTACCATTTGAGGGTATACAGTAAATAACATAGGTCTGGGGATGTAAATAAAATTACCATATCTTCTAAATAAGGCCTATCGATGTCTATTATCATCCTGACCGCAGACATTGTTCAATTAACTATTCCTCCAATCTACTAAGATCTCAACGCGTATGCGATAAATCCCATACAAACCACGTATTCTATAGAAGTTATGTACAGCAGCCATCTTCCCAGCCAGTCTTTCTGTTCCACAGGGATGCACGTGAGTAGATCTTCAGAGCGCACCCCCAATGACAAAAGCACTGACCGGGAAGATGGCAGCCATGCTTAACATCTTCTGTATTTTGAAGTCTTTTACAAGCCACGTGCAGTTTCGAAAATGTGAGAAGACTGCTTTTCAGTTTCAAGTATACGGTTAGGATCAACTGAAAGAAAAAAACCCCAATCATATCTGTAAATTTTGCACATTTAAGATCGTTATTATCATAATGCAACAACTCGATCAATTTGCTTCCTAAAGATAGCTTGCACCAGTCCATGTATTTGAGCATAGGCAAGGGCAGATCAAGAGCCGAATTATCAAGGGGGAAGTGCTTGTGGGGGTGGGTAAAAATATGGAATCCTTTAGCTAATCTTTTAATGGCCTTTCAGAGGGTAAGGTTACATCTGGGGACATTTTACACGCTGTTAGAAGGAAAGGAATTAAGCAGACCAAAAAATATCGCCTTTGTCACATTCTTTCTCAAACTTTAGCTCCTTTTTGGGAGGGGGATCGTGGCTCCTGTTGACCCGCCCCCTGGATCCACCCTTGAGCAAAGGGATCGTAAGACCATGCTTGGTTAGGTAGTACTGAAACAAACAAACTGTTGGACATGGGAATGTACACCAGCTGCGTATTTCTCCTGGGTGTTGGTGGCAAAACACGTGAATTTGAATAGATTTGAGTGGGTGTGCTTTCAAGAAACTACTTTTTCACCATCGAACTCGGAAGATTTTCTCCAAATGAGAAAGGAAGTTGAAAGGAAAAAGTCGGAATATAACAGCTTATTCACTATAAGGATGTTTTATATTTGATTCGAGGAACGCAGACAAAACAAAACGGAAAGCTCTGTAAAAGCACGAACTAAGCTTCGCCGAAGAACATGCTATAAAAATTTATGACTCGTGCGCGGAGAAGTTGTGTTTGATAAGAACAAAATAATAATCTCACAACCCCCGTGTAATTTCTTTCGAGGATTACCAGCGGTATATATTATTCGGCAGGATTGACTTAATGAGTGCGATGATACTTTCAAATGATCTGATTAGCGGGAAGTGACTTGTAAATTCGAGCAGCAAAGCGTGATAGCCGTGCGTTGCGGTGGTGCTTCGGCGGAGGCCACGCGGGAATCCCGGCTTAAGTCTACCTACCACATCAACGCGGGATTTGGCTCCCCAAATTCCTCCATCTACCAATCTAGCTGCACTCTCCAACACTCACTTTTCCAACCATTTCAAACAGTCAGATGCACTCTCGCAACGCTTCTGTTACTGCGCATTTAACTTTGTCCTTTTGTTTGAGGGAAGTGCATTTATCTCAGTATAGATAGTAGGAACAATTATGAAATTACATGCACATGAGGGAGCATAACTTGAGATTAAGAAGATAGCATAAAGATCAAAATGATATCAAGATCAGCTGCTGAGACGAGCAACGTGGTTGCTTAATGCGCGAAAAGAGTCTGAACAGTGGAGGAAAAAGTAGCTCACTATTCCTTTGACACCACTGAATGAAACCGTACTCAAACTTTGATTCTTACTATTCTTTCGTGTAAAACGGGCGAGGAATTTTTCCGGTGTTTCAAAGTTGGACGGTGACTTACACGAGGATGCAACTTGGCCTGTACCGTCCATTGGATACACAGTAAAGACAAACCATGTTTTGTTCTGATACAGCGGTCCCCCTCCCTATCAAAAGCAGTGGGAACCGTGGGTTCGTTGGAGCAGTTATTGGCTAGCTTTGATTTCTTTGGTTGTCCACCCTTTGCGAGCACACCAAATTGTGCGGTTATCCTGCAGCTGTGAAGCCGCTTGCAACATCTCGCTCTTCCTTCACAAAATTTGGTGCAAGAGATTGGCGGTCACCAGAGACCAGCGACCACTTTTTCTGCACTAACCAGACGAGGCCACGGCGCCATGCATGAAGCTTCCTCTGCCATCTTTGTTCCGTCATGACGCATGCGCGGTTTACTATTTTTGATGGGCTTTTTCTTTAGATTTGAATAGGTGATATTAACACTAGCATGGACTAACTACTGACTCTTCAAAATGATAAACATTTGTTTGTTTTTTTATTATGAATTTAGCAAAGTATGTACATTGTGGCGTGAAGTGGGGGGGGGGAAGCCATGATGGAAATGTGGCTTCATGTCGGATTGGCTAACGAGCTTGCAGCAAAGTACATGAGGTAAGTGCCAGAGGTAAGCCGGTGGGTAAGACCGGGAGGGGCAGTGGGGATAGAGGGCGCTATGCAGACCCGACATGCGGAGGGGCATTCTCCGTCCAAATCAAGGTCATGGGGTAAAAGGGTCATTCCATTAAACATCATTGTTTTGTTGACCACGTTCCTTAGCAAAAAGGAATACAGACGAAGAAAGATCGGACCAAAACAGAGAGGAAATGTTGTCATTCCAAAAGTTTTGGCAGGAAAAATAATGCCAAAGGCATCCAGTCATGTAGGCGCGCCCGGCCATTATCTTAGGGTCGAGTTTTGGATCTCATTCTTTCAGGCTGCAGGTTTCGATTTTAAAGTTCTTCCGTTCATGACAAAGGAAAGTGGCTTAGTATGCCCGGAAGACTAATCTTTTTCGTCGGTGGACTGTTGACTAAAGGATACGCTTCATTTACACCCATTTCCGGAATTCGGTTTTGTGGTATCAAGCTTGTTACTTGCGTAAACCCGTTTTGCGATGTATACAGACTATATACATTATGCGCTTTCGATAGTGTAAACTCTACTCACTGTATGAATTATTTATTGAATTTTATTCTTTTATTCCACTGCCGACTTATTCTGAATTTACCATGCTCCTCGTTAGCAGTTTTTATTTTCTATATTGATTGCATAATTTGTTGATAGTTAGCCTTTCTCGGGAGTTATGCTTTGGACTTTTCTGCGCTGTTTTGAATGTGATCATTGGCAGATGTGGGGTGGGGATATTGCCTGACCTACCCCACCCCTGGACAGAAATTCAGGAGCTTTCCCATCTTAAAAATACTTTGAGGACATGCCACCTCCCCTCCGAAGAAAATCTGGTTTGGATCCAACCTTGTGCTGTCATTTTCTGCCGTGCCTACTGTACCTGAAAGCGTCTGTATTATACGGAGCTCTGGAAGTGCCATCTGGATCCTGACATATTTCATTTTCGGATGGAGACACGATTGTTACTAGGAAAATGTCGGCAACCTGGGGTAAATAAACTTATCACGGGGTGATGACATCAAGGATAAGCATACCGTGCGTTGATAATTTATCAGTAACTTTCAGAGCATGCGTCCTAGGCTTTGATATCTCAGCAAGTCGACATTCTACTTTGGGGGCGCTGCAATTAAATAACACCACAGCGTCGTTACTCCTTGTTCGTATACCTCAGCTTTCTTGCATGGAAAATGTCCTCATCTTGAGGCGAAATGCGTCAAACCTCAACAAGTCAGATGGCACTTCCAAAACACCGTAATACTACGCTGAATTGTTAATCAGCTTTATGCTGTCCTGCACGCCTACATGAGGGACCGCTGCTGTGCCGTGCTGAAGTCTGCTACAGGCTGGGCTAATCTGTGTACGGGTGCTGTGCTATGCCATGTTTTATTGCGAGTGGGACCCGCGGCTGCATGCAAGGTCCAATTCCACGGCGCTGCTTATTGCAGAATTCCGCGCTTACGATCTCCATTCTGCGCTAGCGAAAAAAAAATCTGCGCTAGCCTTTTAAGCACAGAATCTTTAGTTACGGGATGTACGCACACACACAAGTCAAAATTCCTCGCTAACCCGTGAAATACGTTCGGCGTAAGCGCAGAATTTTCCGCTACGGTAATTTGGCGCCGATTTCTCACTTGCGGTAAGCAGCGCCGTGAACTTGGGCCCATGTCCGTTGCTGCACTACTAGCGCCGAGCTGTCCTATGCTATGCTGTGGCAGGCCTATGCCATGTTATTGTTCAATAGTGCTATGCTCTGCGATGCTTCCTCAGGCGTGACCTGATATCGTGCAGTTCTGCTCTAGACTCCAGCCTTCTGTAAGTTACAGCAGAGCATTCTGAGACCATTGCTTAGCTCCACTCGATGCCGTAATAATCGCTAACTGCAGTGGCATTATGTCCTCAGTGTTGCGTGTATGTTTCGCTTTTTGTCTAGTCCGTCTTGTTTTGGTTTTGCTCCTTCTTCTTTCGTCTGGCTTGCCTTACTTCTGCCTCCATCCTCGTGTCCTGTCCTGCACGTGTCATTACATTATACGCTCCTAGCTCCACACTGCTTAATGAATATACCGTGCTGTGCTGTTGAGCGCAGCCGAATTTATTTTTAACCTCCAGTGGTTATTGTATTCGGTGTCTGATTTTGGCTCACGGTGAGTACACTCATTCCTAACGACCGAAGTCTGAACGTGACAATAGCAAGCCCAAGACTACCCGTACACCAGTTCTTGCAATTCCATTTTTCCCCTTGCAAATGTTCCCTAGCCGTATTAGAGGAAATAAATCTCATTAAATTATTTTCTCTCTTTTTTTTCCACTCTCAGTAGTTAGCAACGGAGCTAGGCCCGTTCGAATGCACAAGTCAGTGGCCTGTGCCCATAGCAACATTATCAAGCAGAAATCTCCACCGTGTGTGGAAACCGCGCCTGCCTCAACAAATGTAGCCGTGCGACTGTTGACCGTAGCGATAAGTTAAGCAAACATGCAGTCGGTGCCACGAAGCAACATGGTCAGGGTGGGAGAGGGGTGTTCGTGCTTGCGTATCAGCCGGTTGGGGACGTGTCAGACTTAAAAACACTGCTATAATGCAAAGCTATTTTGAATGTGGAGGAACTATGCACACACTAGTATTTCCACAGAGGGAAATTTACCAATGACCTCTGGAATCAAGGGACCAAAAGACTTGAAAATCACTCTGATATGAGATCAACAAGTCTTGAAGGGTAAAACACTCAGGTTGTACACCTCATCTGTTCGATTGAAACAATTTCCCTGTGATTCAGAAAGCGATGGCGTGAAACGTTGCTCTTTGGAGAGCACCACTCAGTGACACTCAGCTTTTCCGGACCCCGAGACTTCTTTTAATCATACATGTACATTTTAGACATTTTAAAACATTTTTCCAGTGACAGTTAACCATAGTAAGCCAACCACTAGTTGACTGCGACAGTGAATCAGCCAAGGAGAGATGTCTACATCACCAACATCGAGGTGCCGCGCGACCCATCTCCGTGGTGGATCGGTTTGTGTCTATTTTATGACCCATAGTACATGTCCAGCCATTCTCTGTGGTCCAACTCAACTAAGCCTTGTACTAATCTTCATTCGTGCCCTCGCACTGTGCTGTCGTATTTCAGCGCTTTCCCGTCTCGCTCCCTGATATCACAACCCTTGTTTTGTACTAACTTGACAGACAAGTCCATCCCGATGATACGCACATTCGATACCCTCAATCTCAACCTCGGAGTCTACCCCGTCTCTACCTGAATCCTTTCTCCTCTTTACGTGCGCGGTACCGTATGTTGCCAAGCAGTCTAGTATCTACTCCAAGGCCCCATCGTGTAGCCTACTTTCTGCACTAATTACACGCAGGAAAACTGTCCCCCCCACCATCACTCTGAGCGCTAATTTTCCCGCCTCGCCACTACGAGAAGAGAGGGGAAAAGTACACGGAATTGCGAGGATTACTGGACGCCGAACGATACGATTTCTTGAAAGTGTGAAATCGGATCGACTCGCTGGACCAGGCGTCTTAAAGGAAAGACCAAGGCCGGTATGCCCCCGCTGTAACCTGTTAGAGGCAGAAAGATGGCAGGCAGGCACGGAGATGGGATCGCACCCACGGCACTGGCTGGCCACAATCCCGCGCGTCACAAGACACCTGTACCTCCACTCTAGCCAAACGCACGTACTCCTGTAAAGCAAGTCGGGCCGGGATAAATTTAACTTAGTCCCGAGCTAATCTCGCACGTTCCCCACTCGCGGCCCGATTGTATATCCTGCACTCTGCCGTGTTGTACAAGGCCGATGAACCATTTACGACGGAGAAAGTTTGTACAATTGAAAGATTTCTTTCAACCGACGAGTTTTCCCGCCATTTTTATAAGCGAGAAAGTTGCAAGTGCACTTTCTGGAACAGGTCACCCTACGTGTGGTATATTGAACATCGGTGAGTACTTCATACACCTTTCAATTTTTACATTGTCAAAAAAATTTAAAGTGTGTGTTGCTAATGTGTTGCTAAAGGCTAAAACCATTAGTACCGACATGTTATAATTGCAATCGCACGTCGGTAACACCTTTAAAGGTAAAGGCGCATGGATATCTATGCTTATAGATCAACTTTTAACCAATAGAAACACTCAAACGATACAACTAATGGTACGCAAGCTTTGATTTGATAAGATACCAGGACATGTTGTATAGGGCATAACTTCTGTTTGCCGAGGTCAATATCCACACGTGATTTTTTTGTTTCGTAACTGGGTCGCACATTGAAAATCTTGATTTATGGAAATTGCTCACGCGCCAAAAATGAACACAATTTCGGGAATTGATACGCAGGGACTCAGCTAGCGTCTCATCAAGTCCTTTTCGCTTTTGAACAGTAACTCAGAACCAACTCCTGGGCAATCGTCTTGAGACTAGCAGCTAACACAGGTTGAGTCTCTGTTAAGATTAGGGCGGCTTACAGCGCCATCATCTCAAACACAAGTCATTTTCAAAATCATAGTTTGGCCTAATCCGTCGAGAAATCCAGTCTTGTGGGTAGAAAATGCGGCGTGTATTTGAACTTGGCGCGCGGTGAGAGCTTTCAGCGTGGGGAGCTAGATGCTGTCTGGCCCCAGTGGAATTGGCATGTCGTCGCATCCATCATGTCAAACGGACGCGATTCCACCGTAATCCGTGCTCTTCTCGGCTCAACCGCCAACGCCATCCGGTTCATCAGTGCCTAGATTTTGTGGTGACCAGCGAAGTTTGCTGGATTTATCCGGTCGGGATCTACTTAAAATGAAAAAAGTCCGTGTAGAAGAGAAGCTGACATTTGGAAGATTACCTGCTTTGAAAAAAATCGATGGAAGTGCAGTGGAAGCGTCTTGACAAAAGAGACACAGTCTTAGGAGTGGTGAAGGGCTGGTGAAGCATATTTCAAGACTTTTGTTTCATCAACATTTTCTTCATACATTCGACTTTCCAAAGAATTTGCAACCTCTTTCAGGTCAGGCCGTTTCAAGCAAACATAACATTACGTTTCGTTATAGGACAGAAAGACGACGACAACGACAACGACGACTACAGCAGGGTGAAGATGACAAATTTCAGCATCAAAAACCGGATAGAAACAGCAATAGATGTGCCTGATAGCAAAAGTAACCAACAGCAACCAACAACAGCATCAGTAACTACAACAACAGCGACAAGTAGTTTTGAAATCCTAAAGAAGGAATGGACTTCCCACGTACATTCAGTTCACCATTCCATCGGATTTTCATCAATCAATCTGTCTTCAGGATTCGTTCGTTCATACTTTGCCGGAGTACTTGTACTTTGATACAATAAAGCCCTGCTTAAAACACACAGTATAACTCCAAACTGTGCAATTTAGACGCCACTCGTATATTCAAGATTAAAACAAAACCTCAAATCCAACTTCCCTAACGTCAGTGATAACAGATTGCTTTCTAGAAGTAATTAGACTGAGACTTAGTAGTAGTTAAGGCAGTCCTGATGCAAGGAGACTGCGTTCTAATACAGTCTCAGCTTTGGAAAATCTCCGAATTCCTTTACCGGGCTATCTAATCATCCAAAGAACCTCATAAAAAGCCCCATAAACTCAAAAGAGATTAACATATAGTCCGTACTCCATGCAAAGTAATTCTCCTTACACATCTTGTTCCTCGTGTTATTTTAAGTTTGAAAAAAGGTGCAAAGATTCCCGGTATATAGGTGAACAACTTTAACCACCAAATGTTGTTTGCTGATTTTTTGAGGGTGACGCCACGTTTTAAGGTTGAGAATTGAAAGCCCTTTCATTAAAACTCGGGGGAAGCCAATTTTTCATTATTTACTGCAAATGAGCAGAGAGCTGAACCCACTGACAAAGTCTATACATCTTAATTTTGAATAGTGCCAGATTAAATGTTAATAAACTGAGCAAACTCAACAGAAAGTCAGCCCTGCATTGAGGCATTTTTTTCAAGTCTAAGTCAATAAATCCGTGAGAAAAGCTGATTGACTTGGGATGTAGAGAAACCCCACAGCTCATAAAAAATCAGTCAGATCAAGAAAGAATCCAGCGCACTGCGATCAACACACACCAAGTAAACATTCCAGCAGGGCAAATAATACCACAACAGCTCCGATGTTTTCTCCTTTGTGTATCTACCAGCGCAGAGTATGCGGCCTGGGTGCCTGAGCGTCCCACTGCTGACAAGTTTTCCGCCGAGCAACAAAGTCAGCACGCTCTGACAGTGTACCCTGTTCAGACCATCAGCAACAACGAATGGTGCATTGATGGAAACGTTTGGGCTTGAGATGCATTGAGGTACACAATTACATCTTCAACCTGCCTTTTGCCGCCCAAATTGATATACTTACGTAATGGCCATCAACCTAACACAGTAGCGACGCCAATAGGTCAATTGTTTTGCAAATGCAGCCCATTTTATTCTAATTTGGTGATCCCATGTATAAGGAGAAAACTGATCACGATACTCGACATTATTGAGTCACTACCCTCAGCGGTCCGCCATCTTTGATTTCGGGCCGTGTTCGAATCGCGTATTTTATGGCTACAGTTTCGATTTTTATAACAATTTATGCGCTACGGTGATCAGCCACAGCCGCTGACAACAACATCCACGGCTTACCACAGAGAGGGAGGAGGGACAGTTGTTTTCCAATCCTCGACGTAAGTCCCGTCAATGCATTGCTTTGGAACTCAATCTGCTTATTAGCTAGTCTGAGATCTCAAGGCAGTTTCACATTGAAAGAGTGTTTTCAGAAGCAGTAGTATTATACAATAGCAACCTTTGGAGCTGCGAATAATCATGTTTGTTTCTGTGATTGATTCGGAGAGCATCGTGGCCCATTATCAATACCATGTAAGTGGCAGCAACGGTAACAGTCTTTATGTTTTAACTATTGAACCCGACCTCGGAAATCAATGGATTAATCGTTTATTCTGTAAAGATGGAGAAAGGGCGCTTTTTGAATCCAACAGGACTTGGCGGAGATCTGGGCACAGAATGACTCATTGCATAGCAAGTTACCCTGGTGTCAAGGTCGTATCGAGCAAGACACCGGGGCTCAGTGACCGTCTGCTGAGGTGACTGGCCGTCCGTGCTTCCCAAGCCTGTCCACCTCGTTGACTCTCAATGCCTTATGAATACATAAACTTTGGGAAGCTAGAGTCTTCTACTTTCTCAAATATTTGATTGATAAAAATCCAATCAAACTGACTATTTTCCTCCATCGACCAGGGCACTCAGGAAACTGTCCCCCGTCCCACGTTCCCCCCTTTCTCTGTTTACTGCAATTAATGCCAGGCCATAAATTATAACTTTCTTCGGTTTGATCCGGCGGGGGTTTCCAATGAAGCCTCGAATTAAGCGTCGTGATTCTGATCCAGCCAAGAATGAAAATGCATGAGGGGTTGGTCCGGGATTACCAGGCCATTGGCCGGGAGGGGTTGCCGGTCCGAGCAACAACAGCTCCGCGCGACGAGCCGAAAAGGGTCTCTAACTATGGTGGTCTGATTCTTGACGCGATCTCGGGGCCGCGCACAGACTGCTGATCAGGCCCGTCGGCCCTCGGGGCCGCACCCCGACCCCCCACGACCAATTCGCTCCTTGGTGGTGCTAGCTTCTCGGCCACTTGTGCCCGTACTGGCCCCGCTAGCTGTTGGGGTAGAGCGGATGTAACGGTCATGTAGGCTTCATCACACACGCCAACAGGCATGTACAGCTGTGGCAGCTTGGAAAAACCTGGAGCCCAGCAAACAACTGTTGGATGTTTGGCCACAAAATTTAATCAAACAAGTTGGTGCTCTTGTAGACACATCTTTAACGACAATTTGTGATCCTTCGAAGAGCGTCTAGATTAACGCAAAGACACCTGATGCTTAAATTGAGTTTCAAGAATCACACTTAGGGGAAAAATTGGTGAAAGTTTTGACAATTCAACCATGGAACGGTCGTCAGCCTCTGTGGCGACCCATCACAGGTTGGAGTTGATTTTTGCCCATTGCCATTGTCTATCATGTGCCAAATCAATGGCGGACCCAGCGACGTGGGCGGACATGCATGGCGGGGAGCGAAGAGGGGCCAACGGTCCGCCGCGAGCCGATGGGGACAGGTCGCGACGCGATCCGGTACGCAAATTGGTTTAAAATCCGCACTTTATGGGATTTGATTGAATTGATGATGTTGATGAAAGGGCAGATGGGGTAACAGGAAGGAAGGGGTTTTGTGCCCATGCGCAACAATTAGGGAAGGTACATCTAGAAATAAAGGAAGAAAGCGCGGGGAAATGTAAGCAGAAGGCAACGAGGCTGTATTAGTGACGGAGTAGAGCAGTTTGCAAGCTTCAAATCACAGCCCAATAAATCAAGACAGAGCCTCCAAATTGAAACGAAATAAATCTACATGTAACATGTGAAAAAGGTAAGTTAGTTTGATCCTCTGCAACTTAGTAAAGTCAAGTTTTCACATCTGCGTAAGGAGACGCCCATACACCTGTTGTAATCAATACTGTTGCCCTATAAATTTCTTGTACGTGTCCTTGGTAACAAAGAGAGAGGCTGAGCAAAACTTCGAATCCACTCGTACAACGGGGCGCTAGGGTTGACCAATAACTCACCCCAGTACTAACAGAACGAAAAATCTTCAAAACTACAAACATGGCATTTACAAATTCAATATTGTACATCATCCCAATGAAACACAGCAGATAAGGGGAGAACAAAAATGGTGTCGAATGTGCAGTCGAACAGGCCAGCTAGTGTGCTGGCCTTATCCACAAATCTACCATTTTGAACTTGGAAAGCGAGTCGATCCCTTTAGGGCCTAAATGGCAGTGTGGAAGTCAATGGGGCTAATTTTGTCGGGCTGCGTCTATTATCTGAACGTAAATGTTGCAAGTTTTTCACATGCCTTGTTGACGCCTATTCTAACGCCTACAGCCTATTCCTCCTTCTCATAAGTTTGAGAGGGGCCTATCAGCCCAACTCAGCCCCCTGAAAGGGCGGAGTAGACGACTGAGCGAAAGGCAGGATCACCAACTGCACCGTGCGCGCCACTTATAGACTTAATTAGGGCGGAGTTCATTTAGACATTTTACGCAAATCACCACGGACGCACAAACGCGCATTTTTCTGAAAAGCAACGCGTCTTCCCCTATCATATGCGCGATCAAACTCGGTTGCTGATGTTTTCCCGTATGAAAACGAAGCACAGCTGTCCATGCTGATGATCACACAATATGATCTACAAAGTAAGACTCATGTACGTGTAGCATACGGTACCGGTATAGGGCCTACTGCTTTGCCATGAACAGATCTGTAATCGCACTGAAGTAATTCAATTTGCACCCAGGGGTTGCATAACTTTGAAGTTTTTTGTCAGCTGATGTTGACACACATCAGCTGACACACATCAGAACCACACTTCAAAATGTTGCTATCTCGCAAGTTTACGGTTCTTTCTTTTCTTTTTTGAAAACTGGCTTGCACACACGAAGCGTGAAAAATGGCGAAGTTGCCGCATGGGTGTTATGCTGACGGCTATCTCCACGCGAAATGACACAAAGGCGGGACAAACAGGTGGTGAAAATAGACGTGTTGTCTATCCAGCATTATCTCAACTGATGTTCTTGGCTTGGCTAACGGGTGGACAGAGGAGCAGGATCTGTGCTCGGGGACTGATATTGTGAGACGATTGGGGCACTGAAAGCGGGTTGTCGGTGTGATGAACCGAAGTGAACTTGTCAGGTGTCGGATATATTAGTGGGAATTCGGCATTTACGAGAAATGTGTGACCTTGGCACGTCAGCTTTGTATCCTAGTCAGACAGACAGATGTTTCACAGAAGACTTTCAAAGTAGGAATTTAGTCAACAACTATTCACCAAGGCAGGAAATCAGTCACGTTATAACATGCTGCAGAACCTGCGCCATTTTAATCCTCATGGAACCTAACATTATACTGGTCAAGAGATGCCACAGAGGTACCAGACTTTTATTATGGTGCTGCATGTACTTGAATTTGAAATAACATCACGCCCGACAAAATAATACTGTGTTAAGAATGAAGGTAAATGTAAATGAAACAAAGGGAACATTTCAATGTTGGATGTTGCATTTTTCCCGCCAAAAGAGAGATCGGGGAGTTATTATTCCCACTTTAGCCATTTTTGTTAACCCTGTTTAACCTATCGCGCTTTTCAACACTCGAATGGACAGTAAGGCCAAAGTGCATTAGTAAGGAGGGGAAACTGAATTAATGCCGGAAACTTTTCCAATGAAATAGAACGAACGCACCTCCTTTATTAAAAAAAGAGAGATGGGGGGCTTGCAATGTGTCCTGTCCAGGATTTATTGCCGGAGTCCACAGCCTGTCATCACCCTCGTCAACCACGGCTGCCCCGTGGGGGTTAGGGTAGGGGAAGGACCGAAACCCTTCTTGAGAGACAACCTCTCTATCTTCACTGTTGGGGCTGATCTCTCCATCCCGCGACCTCCTCCCCTTCGCTCATAATTCCGCATTTAGTGCATTCACGCGTCTTATGCAACCAACCCACTCCGTCCTCCGAACCTGCGAGCACTTCGGAAGTTGTCGACGTAATTAGCATCGGCAGCGGAAGTTGGTTGGGGCCCGGCGAACGAGCGCCGGCGAAGTTTGGGCGGGCGGCTGGAGGCTGGGATTGGGCTTGCTTTCCGGAAACCCGCCGGCTGCAGCGAGAACCATACTTCTTTTGGTCCAAGTTTGTTATTCAACATCACGATAGCCTGAACAAGCCTTCGTTCCTCCCCGGTAAAACAAATCTAAATAGCGACCGTGATGAGACTTTGTCGTAACACCTTCTAGCAAAACAGAGGAATATCACATTATGTTTTGTTCTCAGCAA